ACATAAGCTCTTGTACCAAATTCTGTCTAGAATATTGATCACCATACTTAATTCTCAACGCTTCTCTTATATCGGTCCATGTTTGTAAATCAGGACGTGCCATAAGAAAATTTCCTGCGTCATTTATTAATTTTGATTTTATGGCGGTAACCACATACTCTTTTTGAGCATTTTCACCAGTATAGTAAGTTTGATAGAATTCTTTGATGTTTCTTATGAAATATTCTAAATATTGGCTTTCGCCACTGAAAGGTTTGATAAGTTGTACAATTGATTTTAAATTTTCACTCATTGTTACGGTTAGTCTTTGATTTTGGTTGTTACTTCTCGAATTAGAATTGTAAAGATGAGTTAAATTAAATTGAGTCAAAAGATTCTCGAATTCTTCTTCAGAATCTGACATATATATTTCTTTGAATTTTTAAAAGAAATTATTTTGAAAATTTAAAAAAATTCAAAATTAAAAAGTTTTATTAAAATTAAAATTATAATTAATTAATCAGTCTTATGCGTTGCTTTTTCTTTAAAAATTAAAAGTTACTTTGGGTTTGTAAATTCGTTGTTACTCTTTATTTTTGATTTCAGTCTTTTCAGCAAACCTTTTTGGAATTGCAAAAGAACAAAAATCTGAATTTAAGTCTTCTCAGTAAATCAAAAAAATAAGAAATTACAAAAGATCAAAAATCCAAAAATCTTAACTATGGAACACCAATTACAAAATGTATAAAGAGAAAGGTTGTACTTACTAGGCAAAGCTAAAGCTAATAACAGTAGTCTTTCTTCACACGTTGTTTCTTGTTATTCCTTTTACTCAGTTAACCAATTCGAAGTGGACAGTATCTGGAACGTTTAATAGCAGCACTGGTAATCCAAATTTCACTTTTCCGAAGAATTCACTTTTTCGAACTTTCTTCAGTCTTTTGAAATTTTTGCGACGGATTACGACTGTATCAACTCCCGAAACTTAAGCACTCTGAGCTTCCGAACGACTGCGCCAATTATATTTTCGATTCAGAAACTTGTATTTTAAAAAACATTTATTTTATTGATTAAAATACAGAGGTGACAAAAGAAAATATACGGATCAAATTGCTACAGGCTAAAGCCAGAAAACAAATGAACGCTCCTTATGGGGCTGCATCGGCTTAGATAAACATTTAATGCCGACATAGCAATTTGATGTTTACTTTACAACAATGTATTTAAAAAGTCCTAGAGGAAAGGGGTAAGCACATTAAAGCATATAAAAAATAGCTAATTGATTATAAATCAGCATGGCAATTGGTTAATATAACTTACCTTTTAATAGTTATTTACATTACGAGTGCGTTTATGAAAATGATTAATCACACGAGTTTTTTATTCATTTTTAAACGCACGTGTGATGTACAACGTTTTATCTACAGAGCGAAAAATAAGAATGTTTTTTCAATTATTTTTGTTTATTAGTAGTTGTCTACCTTCATTTTACCTTTACAGGTTTAACTTGAACATTTGTCAAATCACCAAAAATAGTTGCGTTATAGATTCATAACCTAGTCCATAACACCACTAGTTTTGTTATGAATTTATAACGTAGTCCATAACACAACTAGTTGTGTTATGAGTCTCATGACATAACTTAAATACTAGAAAAATGGTTAATGTAAAAACGTCATAACCAAACGCTTGTAGATAAAATTATTAATACCATCTTCATAGGTGTCGCCTTCATTGATATATCTGTTACGGTTAATATGCAAACTTGGATAGTTTGTGAACTAGCTGGATAGTTTACAAACTAACCAACCCACTGTATTGATAGAAAACGCAATTTTCAGTAAAATAGCAGCTAGTTTGCAAACTAACCAAAGAGTCTTGGCTAATTTACTCGAAATTATTGAGATAATTAAATTAGCTGGTTAGTTTTTAAACTATCCAATATAGCATGGCTAATTTGAAAACCATGATTCCTAGTAACACAAAATAGCCAAACCTTTGGCTAATTTATAAACTAACCAAACATTTAGCTAGTTTATAAACTAACCAACCAATTTTCTGGCTAATTTACAAATAAAGTAACGTTACATGGACATTTAGGTACATTTTATATATTCAACGATATCTAAATTAGACAATTATCAATAAAAAAATAGTAGAAAAAATTCAGATTCCTAAAACTTTTTTCGTAAATGTACTGGACACATTCTATACTTGAAGATTCCAATGGGTCCATGGATGATTGGCATCAACTCCAGCAAGTTAATTTCTATATTATGAAATCTTTCTGGTTTGAGTAACTTATCAATTTAGTAAATATTTGGTTGTAATCAAATCCTTGTCATATAAAATATTGCTACGACTGTCATGATGAGTGCATGTTCGGCTCAACTGTGACATCATCCAGCAACAAACACTGAGCGTCTGTGGTCTCAAGTTCTGAATCTTCACGAAGAAAAGGTGCATCGGTTGATTCTTCTCTCTGACATGGCATGTCAATGCGATGTGACAAATGGCTGTATAAATAATTGCTCATTCTTCCAGCAGCTGGGGGGCTTTATTTGAAATTAATGCAACTTTGTGTACACGCAATGACGTCATTTGGTATTGTGTCGGAACTAGCTATTACCCTTTTTTGGGCTTTAGTCAAACCGCACCAGGGATGCCAAAAGTTTTTACTTTGACTGACTGTAAATATTTACGACTAGGTATTGGATCATTTAAGCCTTGTATTGGGTTAGGGGTGCCTTGATTCTCATTTATACAAATAAAATGCTGGAATAGAATAATTATCAGTAGTAATAGCCCAAGGACATTGATAATTGTCCGAAAAATTTTTATAACAGATTTCGAAAGCTTGTTGCTGTTTTCTATTATCAACAAGCTTGAGAAAGTTGTTATAAAATTTTTGAGCATTTATCAATGTTCAAGGGTTATTCAGATAGAAAATTCTTTGACAACAATGTCTGTGACAATGTCATCGAGTGAAAACAACCCATGGGCTGTTTTCAGTATAATTTTGACATGATTGGGTGAATTGTGTCACATGACAAGAAATAACAAAATTTAACTGGCTGTTAGAACTGTCAAAAAATTTTCAATTTAATTAATAAATGAAAGTAATTCGGTATAGTCAGCAATCAAATCCTATCTAAAAATTCCTAATTGGACGTCCAGTCGAACTACAAAATTACAAATTTTATACTAATCTAAAGTAAATAAGTATCTTGATTTATAAATGGTAGGGAAATCTGATAATGATAATAATATCATTTATAGTTAAATGTAAAATGAACAAAAACACAAATTAACTAATTAAATGCACGAGAGCACAACATAAATAATTCGTCAACTTCAATCAGTTCACTGTAATCACAAAATGTTTATTGATCCATGAAAGTTCTTTTATTTATTGAGAGTTAACAATTTGAGCACTTTTCTGCGGAAGTCTGTAAACAAGATGTGCAAGACAAGTCTTTATATATGCTCAGTTTCTATATACAAATGTACAAATGTTAATTTCACGAGTGTGAAAACCAAATTTCTGCATTAAACGTTATAAGACACTTCAAATTATAGTGAATTTCAAGCGAATCACTAATCAGTTTTATTGTTCGACGAGAAATTGTAACGGTCTTACTTGCTTAATCCGGTTCATGCAGATAAATCCAAAAGGCGATTATTTAATTTAATTATTTATCACTATTCACACTGGCAGCTAGGAAATTTTCCACTGAGATGAAAACTTGATAACACAACGATATACAGGCGCGTTGGAGCCCGGCGAGAGTGAGAGAGAGCTAAAAACAATCGCGTAGGAGAGAATTTTGCTCGTCCGAGGTGACTTGCAACAATTAGGGGTTAATTACCTGAAATGTAATCAATAATATAGACTATGCCAGGCCTTGAGATACAGAGAGTAGCATTTTTACTATAAATTGCGCGTACTAACGGGGGTTTTGCTTCTGGGGAGCATTCAGAGAGCGTGAGGGTGCGAACTCTTCGCTTATCCTAATAGTACTGAAGAATGTGCGTTGACTAGACTCTGCCAGGGGAAGAGGTCGCAAAAACTAGGGATTTTGTGTGGCTGCTGACCATTCACAGCGGCGAGACAAGTTTACTACCTTATAAGGTAATGAAGCAACCTGCAATTTTACCGGTTCAAATGGTTGTTGTTGCCGGTTTTACAGGATAAATAGTCCAGCAATAGCATCTATTTTTAGAATATTATTTTTATAGTAAATAATAGAAATTGAGACATATTAAATTAGAAATATTAAAAATTAAACCTGTTGTGGGTTATTTCCGCAACAGGGATTGGCAATTGGTGCACGGTTTATTTGACATGTAGTTTTTAAATCGAAAATGACGTCATTTGTGTCATATTTGCGTGTACGGAAAGTTGCATCAATTTCAAATAAAGCCCCCCTGGTAGGCAAAATGAGACAAATTTTTCTTATCAAACGACCTGCAGTCTTCTGAAATTTTGACTCAGATTTCTCAGATCTCAGTATTTCTCTATAACGCTGAAGTTGTCGATGTTCACCCCTCATTTCCGTGCCTTTAAGATTCACGACTGGCGTCTTGGTTTTGAGAGTGGCGGACGGTCCGTGTCGACGACTCCTCATCGATGAAGCTCTCTGCTTCCATGTCTTTTAGACCTGAGTCCGAGCCTCCTCATCCATTTCCATTTTTGAAATAGTGCAAAGTTGGTCGAACAAAATAAAATTAGTTGAATCGTGGAACTGATCATGCCAATCTGAAGTAGACAAACGATAAATTATTCTCGTGGTTTGTAAATATAAAACACCTGAAATTAAATGAAAAAACAAGACTCATTTTTGGTGGCTATCAGTAAACTAAACGACGATAGACTTTAAATTGTGAATTTTCTCTGATGTAACATTTCAACCGTAATTGTGATAGAACAGCCTTAACTTTACTGAGTGGCACTGAATTATCGGATTATGAATTGAGCAGATTTAAAAATCGCAATTAACAATAAAATTAATATTTTTCAGGTTGATTGCACAAGAGAGATTCAGCACGCCACAAATTACGATTTGCTAGTGAGAATTCCAAATTCAAATAGATTCATTGTCAGTGTATCGAGTAATGATGAAAGGCTATGTGTTTGGGACGTTTTAGAGTAAGTTGATAGTTGTTATTCTTACTCTTAAATTTTCTTTCATTATCAATCAAAGTAGAAATACCTATTAACATTCAATTCAAATTTTGCAAAATATTTATTAAAAGATTTGTATAAGTATATCTATTGTGCTTTTGATTGTAAATTTGTGCCTAATAAAATTAAACAATAGATACTTTCAATACAGTAGGGATTCATGAATATGAATTTCCACACTGAAATGTGTATCATACTTTCCAAAATAATTTCTGTCTGAATTTAGTCAGGTTTTGTATTGAACTCCTTGGAAACAAGATATTTGAAATAAAGATTGACGATTGAACAGTTTGGGCTCCTCTCCTCTTTTAATAAATAAACAATTCAGTATGCAAATTCAGTATGAGATGAGGACATAAGAAAACCCATTTGGGAGAATACAAATATATTTCTACTCATTTCTCCTTTTTAAAAAACATCTGAAATTTTTTGATATTAATTTTTTTGAAAAATTGTTAAGCCAATTTGAAACTTTATCTTTGAACCATTATAATTCAATTACCTTTCAAGTTCTAAAATTTAGACGAAAATACTGACATGATTATTGTTGTAGATGCAAACCAATCAGAACTTTGAACGGCATCCCCCTTCCTACCAATCTAATACCGATAGACGAATTCAAATGTGTCGTTCTATGCCGAAGAGAATTGAGGATATACAACCTAAATACCGGTACTTTTATGACCAAACTGAAAGGAGTGATGAACCAAAAGATGCCGTTCTACGGCCTCCACGACAAAAGCCACTTAGTGGCTCTTAGTAGAAATAGGATGTATATAAATTTTATGAATTTAGAATCAGGTAAGGATGATCTAATGTTTGGAAATTTACGGTTTTGTTTTAAATCGATGTAAAGGTTACCAGATAATGAACTAGGCATAGTCCTCGTGATTATTTATATGCCCCTTGCACCAAACCATTATTATAAAGCTGTTCTTAGCAAAGAAAATCTGACAATTTATGTTTATTTCTGTATCAATTAAAGTTCTCGAAATCTCCGCGTCTTTTTCTTCACACCAAAACCTTGCGTTAGTGATTTTTTCATTTTCATCCACAGCTACATCGGTAATAATAATTAAATTTGCTATAGGCATATAGGCTCCCAAATTATTATCTAGTGGTAATGGTAATAGGTGTTTGGTGGGAATAATTTTTTTTAGTCAATTTGATTTTCAGTGCACAAATCTTCTTGACCTGACTTTTTTTTCAGCGAAAACTTCGACAATTCTAACACAATTCTTAGGTATGATACATTTTTCTTTTGACCATAAGTTCAAGTTGGGACTAGGAAACATAAGAATTTCTAATTTTCCTAAGCAGTTGTCAATTTCGATACTGTTCATTTCAAAACATCCCAAAACTTTTCCTTTCTTTACTGTAACTTCAGTGAATGGTTGTCCTGATAGTTATGTTATTTTTTTGAATCTCATTTGTTAGGTAGATACTATTGAGAGTTGAAAGCTCAGTATCTGCTTTAGCTTGGTGTACAGTAATGGTCAAATTGGCTTCTCCTACTTTTGCAGATCCAAATCCGCAAACTTTAATAATTGATCGTTGTCGTTCTACTGGTTTAACTGATTATTGTAGGTAGGCCAGATATTTTCGACTTTTCATGTTCTCTATTTTTTACCTTCTTTTCAGTTTTGGGTCCATGTGGAATTTCATTTCTCCAAATCCTTCGACATTCTTCTAACGAATGAAGGAGATAATCTTTTGAGTGTTGATGCGTTTTGAATGATGTCACATGTCACATTCATATTGCTTTATCAAATAGAGTGTATTACACCGGTTATACAACTTACTGTACAGGGTGGTCCAAATTGGACACTTTCTTATGGAAACACCCTTTATTTTTCGAGATAGGAAAAAATGAACCCCCCACTCTGAGGCTTAAATTACGTGAAATTTTGATTGGAGCAAACCGCATTTTGATATCCTCAACCGTTTAGCTGCTAGAGGGCGATTCTCGATTTTGAGCAATACTGTGAAACCTTCATAACTTTTTTGTTTATGAAAATAATTGATTTCCGTAGAGACTTTCTAGAAGCACTTTTTTAAGAAGAATTCAGTGACGTTCTCAGTTTTTTTCTAATTGAGTCGGATTTCGAGATATTGACCAAAATTCGATTTTATTCAATAGAACACACTATATATTAATAGCTTATTGGAAAACTCCGTTTCTGCTGATTTCAATGATATAAAGTTCGATAGGTTTATCCCTAACAGTTTTCGAGAAAAAAAATAATTTCTGTTTTTATCATAAGAAACAATGTGTTAGAAAGAGACTTTTCTCGTTTTCCTTACAGATATAAAGTCCTTTTCCCACACATTGTGTCTTATGACAAAAATCGAAATAATTTCTTTCTCGGAAACCGTTGGAGATAAATTTATCGAATTTTCTATCACTGAAATCAGCAAAAACAGAGCTTTTTAATGAGCTATTAATATATAGGATGTCCTATTGAAAAAAATCGGATTTTGGTCAATATCTCGGCATCGGAGCCAAATAGAAAAAAGCTGAGAATGTCACTGAATTCCACTTAAAAAAGTGCTTCCAGAAAGTCTTTACAGAAATGAATTATTTTCATAAATAAAAAAGTTATGAAGGTTTCACAGTATTGCTCAAAATCGAGAATCGCCCTCTAGCGACTAAACGGTTGAAGATATCAAAATGCGGTTTGCACCAATCAAAATTTCATGAAATTTGAGCCTCAGAGTGGGGGGTTCATTTTTTTCAATCTCTAAAAATAAAGGGGGTTTCCATAAGAAAGTGTCCAAATTGGCCCACCCTGTACATTATTCCCATATGACACGAGAGGCTTAATAAGTGATAAGCCTTTTGGGATTATAGCGCTTGGTGGCAATATTGTTATTAATAGTAATAAAAATTAATAAGGCATTAAAAATTAGTTCGTTGTATAACCTTTTGAATACCACTCGATGTTTCAGGATTACCTAATACTTTTAGTATTATCCGGTAATCCTGAAACCTCTTGTGGTATTACATTCGACAATAAAATCGGTATTCAGCTGACAATATTGCTACCTGGACAATACCAAGAACACGGTATTTCAGCGACCATTTTTTGACATTGTCAAACTGATATTTTCAATTTGAAGTTTTTATTCATATTTTTGCATTCTATTTATTTTCAAAATCTTACGTGAAATAGTCATGACGAATACCACTCGAGAAAAAATTGTGTAGGCTAAATTGTTCTCAAGGTTTTATTTAAATTTGTTGCTTTTCGGCAATTTCGCTCATGACTTTTTTGATAAAATCACTCGCCTCTTGTCAAAAATGTCATTTGCGAAATTGCCAAGCAACAAACTTTTATACCTTTCGAAAATTTTGCCAACAAATTTTTTTTTCTTGTGATATTATACAATACAGGGTGTCCCACGGTGGATGGCGTATTAGACGTTTATAGAGAACTGAAAAGCCGATCATTTTGAAAATTTGGAAACCGGGATAAATGACCATAATCTACACTTTAAAAATATTTTTGTTTATGCGGTGTTGCCGCTTCTACTCTAAACCAGTGGCAACATCGCTATTTTAAATAGAACATCCTGTATATGATTGCATATTTGGATTCTACGTAAAATTCTGAACAGATTTCATGTGATATACCCTCTACCTAAGTATTAGATGAACCTATTGAGGTTTAATAAAACACAGTGAAATGAGTCTAACTATAATGAAAAGATACGTGACAAATTCGCGTGACAAGGACAATTTTACAATGACAATACTAATCATTACAGGTTCTATAGGTAATAACTAGGTGAACAGAACTAACTAATTATAGCGGGAGAATAAAACTCAAATACTTCTTCTTAACACTCCCACCTATTTGTGTTTTATAGAAGAATTAACATTATTCAAAAAATACATTCGGATATAAACTAAAACTACAATAACATGTTTAATTTTTGAACAGTTCAGAACAGTCTTTGTAACTGGCTTTGTGAGAATATCTGCCAATTGTTCGTTAGAATTTACATAATTGACTGAAATGTTACCTTTTTCAATTTCGTCACGCACAAAATGCACTTTAATGTCAATATGTTTTGTTCTTCTATGTTGCTGCTGAGCCTGAGCTAGTTTTATGGCTGATTGGTTATCCACATTAATTTTTACTTGTGGAAAGTTTATTCCTAATTCGTTTAGAAAAGACTTCAGCCATAAAGCTTCTCGTACTCCGAGTGATAACGCTAAATATTCGGCCTCAGTGGTAGACTGAGCAACAACGGTTTGTTTCTGACACTTCCAGGTGATCGGTGCATTTGCAAGAACAAAAACGTAACCGCTGGTTGATTTTCGTGTATCTATACAACCTGCATAGTCAGCATCTGTATATCCGAATAGATTTATTTTTGGCGATTTAGAGAAAACGATTTTATAATGAGCAGTGAGCTTTAAATAACGAAATATGCGTTTAACCGCTTGCCACTGTTCATCTTGCCAGTTATTATAAAATCGACTCACTTGATTCACTGCGAAAGAAATGTCTGGTCGACTACACGTTGCTAAAAACATCAAAGAACCGACAGCTTCGCGATAAGGATGCTTTTTTGCACGCACTGTATTTTCAGGTAATGACAACAGAATACTCGGTTCCGCAGGAACTGATAAGGGTTTGGCATCACTCATTTGAAACTTATTTACAAGTCTAGTTATGTACATTTGTTGGTGAATGCAAATTATACCGTCAGATAAATTTTGTTCGATTTCAAGACCAACAAAATTTAGTTTTGAACTGTCCAAATTTACAACGATTTTAAACATCTGTTTCCAAATATTAATAAGTCCAGATATAGCAGTTTTTGATTTTGACATCAACAGACCGTCGTCGACATAAATAGCCAGATAAATTTCATTCTCAGCAAAGTGACCAAGAAATACACAAGGGTCTGTTTTTAATTGTTTAAAATCGTACTGATTTAAAAATGAAACAAACTTACGGTTCCAACATCGTGCTGATTGCTTTAGTCCGTAAAGGCTTCTGTTTAATTTGCACACTAAACCGGGTTTCTTTTGGTTTTCGAACCCCGATGGCTGTTTCATATACACACACTCCGAGAGATCGCCGTACAAAAAGGCTGTTTGTACGTCGAAATTAGAAATATGCATGTCATGTTCGGTTGCCAATGCAAGCAGAATTCGAATAGAATCGTATCGTACCACCGGCGCGAAAGTCTCTTGATAGTCCACCCCTTTTTCTTGTGTGAATCCCCGCGCGACAAGACGTGCTTTATAGCGCGATGGTTTGCCGTCAGAAGATATTTTGATACGAAACACCCACTTATTGTCAACGATTTTCGCGTTTTTCGGTAATGTTACTAAGTCCCACGTATTGTTGCACTTTAACGCGTTTATTTCTTCTTGCATAGCGAGGCGCCATTTATCAGAATCTTCACAGCTGATGGCTTCTTCGTATGTCGTAGGTTCGGAAAGTGCATGAACAATAATTAGCATAGGCAGTATAAAAATTGGGTCTTGACAACTTGCTTCTATCTCTTAATTCTCTTCTATTCTCATCTTTTAATTCAAAATTTTCTTCACACTGATAATCTTCATCACTCAAATATTCTTCGGCATTTTCTTTTATTTCTGTAATTTCTTCGCTAGGGTTGTTTTCATCTATATTTTCTGGTACTTCGTGTGTCTCATTTTGTGGTTCGTAATTCTCAGATATCTCAAAATAGAGGGTAAATGTTTCCTTTTTGGGTGAAAATATGTCATTTTCGTTGAAATTAACATTACAGCTGATTTCAATTCTACGTTTCTCTGGATC